CATATGACCCCTTTAAAAAAAAATTTGAGTTCCCGCCAAAATCAGTATTGTATCTGGTCGGTATTGAAAAGTACATTTTTAATTGTACGCAAAATGCGAAATCCGCCGAGTTATTTTGTCATGTTTTCTCCCTTTTTTTTCCAAACCGCGACAAACGCCAGTCTCCCTTCTCTGCAGAATGCGATATATCCGCTCAACCAATCACAGCGCACCATTCCACGCATCATAAACAGTAACTGACAAGCTACGCAATATCACGTTCATAATCGCCGATGAATCGCCTTCGATTATGAATGTGATATTGCGTAGCTTGTCAGTGAACTACAGCTCTGTGTAGTAAATGCTGCTCCATCTGAAAGCACGTGATGGAGATTTACTACTGATTATAGAACCGGCTTTACTGACGAGATTATCACATGCGATTTATAGTGCAGCCCTAAAGAAAATTAATAATTTTTTTATTATTTTTATTATTACTTATTTTTCTATTATATTTTAATTATATATTTGATGTATAAAAACAATTATATGCTGAATGATATACAATAACAATTATAATTTGAGGAAAATGTCATGGAAAAATGTACAAAATAAATCTATATAAATGCTTAATTTTTGTTGAAAAGTAATGAAATGTATAAATATATTTAATTTCACACACACACACACACACACATACAGTAGAAATATAAGAAATGCTAAGAAATGTATACGTAATTATATTTTTGCCAAATATTAGAAATAATATTTCTATTACATATACATTTTTATATGTAAGACATATATGTGACCCTGGAGCGCAAAACCAGTCATAAGGGTCAATTTTGTGAAACTGAGATTAATACATCATCTGGAAGCTGAATAAATAAGCTTTCCATTGATGTATGGTTTGTTAGGATAGGACAATATTTGAAAATCTGGAATCTGAGGGTGCAAAAAAATCTAAATATTGAGAAAATCATCTTTAAAGTTGTTCAAACGAAGTTTTTAGCAATGCATATTACTAATAAAAAATTTAGTTTTGATATATTTACGGTAGGAAATTTACAAAATATCTTCATGGAACATGATCTTTACTTAATATCCTAATGATTTTTGGCATTAAAGAAAAATGTATAATTTTGACCCATACAATGTATTGTTGGCTATTGCTACAAATATACCCCAGCGACTTAACACTGCTTTTGTGCTCCAGGGTCACATATAATGACATATCAAGAAATATATTAAAAATGATAATAGAAGATACCATTTATTTTGTATAATAGGAGAAAACCCTTTGGGCTTCTCTTAGATTGTGGATTGATGAATCACCTCCTGGTTTAATTTCTCAGGCGAAGGCTTTCATAACTACCACCACACGTTTCCCTTCGACTACGCCACCAGCGAATTCGGCTGCAAACTCAACCTGACCACCTGCTTCATTGACTACATGTGTTTCCTGGGTCTGGCCCGAGAGCCCAAGCGTGTGTCCAGAGAGGCCGTGCTCGCTCGAGCTCAGCGCACCGGAGACGGCAGCCACCGGAGCGGCTAACGAGCGCCGTCCGTCCTAACCAGCTGCACACCTGAAGACAGAAGGACAATCGGTCCTTCCAGCGACGCTGTTGAAGCTTGCTGTCAGATGGCAAATGTTTTTTTTCCCCCCAGTCTAGCCAGTGAAGCTTTAATTAATACAGGGATCCGGCCTGTTTGTGTAGCGCTTATTCAGATTTTCTTTCCGGCTTCCTCTTCTCGACCGCAGCTGTAGATGTTTTTGAGCCCGGTCTGAGCTCATGTAGCTGACATGCCAGTTTGCTCAATGCAGGAGCTAATCACGGTGCCCAGCAACCCTGTTACCCTTCCCAAATCTAGCTGTGCATTTTGGTAGAAATCAACTGAGATGCACATCTATTTAATATTCTATAGCTGCAGCTTACTGCATCTGGACCAGATACAGACTAGAGTGTTTCAGAATTTAATATTGCCAATCGGTTTTGTTGCCATAGTTGCACAAATTGTTCATTTGGAGAAATGCTTGAATAGTTTGAATCTGCATTAATGATTCGTGATTATACTTTTGACCACAGCACACATACGACATATAAGTCTTTTTTGGACTACTGCAGATTGAGATCGGTTTGACGTCTAAACACACTTTGTAACGTTGACTTGTATTTAATAATTGTGAGATAATCACTGAAGAATCCAGAAGGCGTACTGGTTTTGTATAATTAATTGTGCAACACCATGCTTATCTTTCAAGTCCTGCTTTTTCATCTGTTAGTGCAAGCATGCTGTATTAATACAGAACTCTTTTCTATCGCAAAATAATACAGATGGATGTATCTGTGGATTTACAGTAATTCTAATAGTTAATTATGATGCCAGAAAGCATTGCATTGCATGCGATCTGAATGGTGCAAGCTGGTTTTTGCTCTAGTTCACCTGTATGTTTAATGAAACATAATGTATTTTCAGAGATTTTTCGGTGCTATTTTTCCATTTTTGGATTTCATTTGACAAGTTGCTTGTAATTAATTTGTTTGGTAACTTTTAAAACCATTTGGATTGTAGTTCTTTGAAGACTTTATACTGTATTTTGACTCCCGTTCCTCTCACACAGGACAGATCGCCTTATTTTTACTCTTGACACTTGATTCAATGCCAAAAAGCGGTTGTGGTATTTCTCACGCTGTTTGGAAGAAGCCTTCGGCTCTTACAACTAACATGATGTTCCTGTTTGCGATAACAGCCTGTAATAATCAATAGACTCTTGTTTCATAATCATTTACTGGAAATAAAGTCTGAAGCAACAAGCTTCTACACTTTCTGACACATTCTGCATTTCATTCTGTTCTGCCAATTCTCTGTTTTGTGGCATTTTTTAAAATAATTGTAAAAGTTCTTGAATCTTTTGAAGTCTCTAAAGCACATATCGGACTGGTTAAAACTTGATTATTTGCACAATTTCAAGGAAAAATGCAAATAAAGAGCTAAATTAACTTACAGTTACTCACTAATCAGCAAAGAACTGATTAAGTTTATATTTCTGTCCAACTGATGTATGCTCTTTGTTTAAACAGGACGGAATATTGACGGAAAGCTTAAGAATTCATCAAATCGATTAAGGGCTGTTATACGAAGCATGCTCATAATTAATTATCCTCTTCTGTTCGCGAATAGATTTATTATCGCGAACATCGCTCGGTTTAATGCATCGGTTTAAGCGGTTCTTTCACAAAACGTAGGCCTATCTTCATATTTACAAGCTTCGTATTATGAAAGGGCTCTTTTCTACGATCATGCAGGTGATTTGGACCAACATTCTATCCGAAAATAAAGCCAGCAAGAAAGAATCGACGAAACGATTATTTGAATTGATTCAAGAACCAACGATCCGAATCGATTCAAACGATTCAAACAGTCTAGTCCGCTCGAAGTTGCGCGTCAATTTATGAAACTACGATTCTTGTACTCGGACTTTTAAACACACAAAATCACAATTTCCGATCTCCTAAATGGGTTCAGACGAAGTCTTCATTCCTGCTGTTAAATTACAGTGCATTATTTTCACAGGTCATAATTAAACCATGTCTGTACTTGTCTCTCATTGTCTCTGGCAGGTTGTGTTTGTAACGGCGTTTGTGCAGTTCACTCATTTTATCCAGACTGCAGAATCAGCATTACTTACTGCAGAAACGGGTTCGTTTTCAGACTGATATTTTAACGAATAATTATAATACATATTTATTTAAAATAAATTTCACAGGTATTTCAAATATGTAAGTGTGGACAATAAAACAACAGAACGTTATGATGATGTTAAAAGCTACTGCAATAAATGCAATTACTAAATATGAAGCGTTTCAGTGTCATTTAGCCTCGTGTCCATTTGCGGTGTGACGTCATCATGATGGCAAAAGGTTACAAGAGTTCACAACATTTGAATTTCAACAGCGGATCAGCGTGAGCCAATCAGCAGCGCCGTATGTCCCCGCTGGACCAATCAGCGAGCGCCTCTCAAATGCAGCGCTTCTCTGGGTCACATTCATTCAGACTAGAAATAAATCTTGCGTTTAAATCAAGAGAAAGGTTGATTAGGGATGTTTTGAATTGGAAAATATTCCTTTTCTCGCCCTCTACAGGATAAACTCAAAATCCAAACATTAAAAACTAGAAACTGAATTTAACCCACGCTTTGCTGAAATTGTCTGACCCCAATGATTTATGCTTAAAAGGATTGTCATTTTTATTTACCCTTTAAAAACTTTAATCCTCCACACCTGCATCAGATCAAGGTTCTGAGGTTCATTCAAATTCCAAACAGATGTTTTGAAACTAAATCTGTTAAGTTCCAACACAAAATTACTAAGCATTATTCTGAAGAATATAGGCTACATACATACAATATATATACATATATATTGATCAGTAACAGAAACAATGTACTTGAATATTGAAAGTCAAAAAGTTGCATGTTGAAATAAATAGCTGTGACAACATTGAGCATTTATGAAAGTTGTGTATATTTTACTTCAAGTGTTTTCAAGCATGTAAGAGTTTCACTCACAACCTTCAGAATGAACTGGTTTCATGATGCACACAGACACAGAACGGCAACATAAACCAGAACATAAACATGTAAAAAGATGCAACTATTTTATCAGGTGAACTGTTCAGTTACATGCAGTTTGAAGTACTGAAGACAAAAGAATCTCACAAACCTGTCAAGACACGTCTAGGTCATATTTCACCTTAAAAATCAAGCAAAATTACATTTTAAATAAATAAGTATATTTTTTAGGACCATTAATGTTTAATCACAATTCAATGGAGTTTGTCATTTCAAAAAAAAAAAAAAAAAAATTTTTTTTTTTAATTTTGATATTAATTGATTTTGGGGTGAAATAACACCTGAATGACAGGGATTCATTCACACTTCAGCCCAAAGTCTTCAGTGCCATTCATCTTTGTTGCAATGGTTTAAGGAACATCTAATGAAGCTCTGGTATTTCTACAGGAGTGTTAGTGCCAGCATCAGCCTCTCTATGAGTGAGTGCAATAGAAAACAAGCCTTCACACAAACCAAATCCAATCAAAAACATGGAATTCAACAGTCAGTTAGTAATGAACCTCGTCCACTAACAATCATCACGATGAATAAACTACAGACAGTGTCAAAACTTTCTGCTCTTGTAATATTAAAAAATTCTCATTCATGAAATGCATTCAGAACGAATCTGTGCGGAAATAGTTCACGACAAAATCACATTCTTACATTGAACTGAATGCAACTAATTTATTTTTTCAGGCAAACGGTTGCATTCATTTCAACACAATTTACCCAATAACGGCTTCACAAACTACGCACTCGTTCTGCTTGTGTAGACTGAACTGATTGCGATAATTTACATGCTAATTTACATGAATTTGTTCTGTTTATTTTAAGGGACATTTTTAGGCAAAATATGGCATTCAATTCAATGCAATCATTTTTTTAATGAACAATTATGCACAGAAAGTCGTTCTGCTCATGTAGATTCTCACATTGAGTTGAAGTCAACAATTTACATAAGAATTAATTTGCAAATGATTTGCACTAATTAGTGGTTCTTGTTTTAAGGCCTTTTGACGCAATCCGTTGCATTCAATGCAATGCAGTTTATGAAATAACTTTGCAACTAATTACGCATTGAACTGAATGCAATAATTTACACCATTTGGTTGTGCTTGACAAACTGTTGCATTCAATTCAACAATTTATGCATTAATTCCTTTATGAACAATTATGCACAGAAAGTAATTCTGCTTGTGTAGATTCTCACACTGAATTAAATGCAGCAATTTATGCAAGAATTAACACTTTTTTTTCTCATTTTTTATTCTTAGACAAACAGTTGCATTCAGTTCAACACATTTTATGAAATGTTTTTTTTAATGCACAATTATGCACAGAAAATCATTCTGCTTGTGTTTCACAAAAAAAGGCCCGATCTTACTTTGAACTGAATGCAATAATTTATACAAATTGCTTCTGCTTGTTCAAGGCCTATTTTTAGGTAAACCATTGCATTCAATTTAACGCAATTTATGCAACAATGGTTATGAAAAATGATGCACAGAAAGTCGTTCTGCTTGTGTTTCATGACAACGTTTCCACACTGAATTAAATGCGACAGTTTGCACAAATTAGTTCTGCTTGTTTTAAGGCCTGTTTTAGACAATCCATTGCATTTAATTCATTGCAATTTATGCAATAATGGTTTTATGAACAATTCTGTGTTGATGAACAATGTTGTGGGATGAATAAGGCCTGCTGCATGGAAAGAGAATCCCAAACACATAAGAACACCAGCAGTGGAAAGCGGTGGGATATTAACGCTGCATTCATTCTTAAAGCACAGTTCTGTGACAGATCAAAACACAAGCGGAAACCGGATCTGCTGTGGAGCACTGGAGTCACACAGCCAACTTGTTGCCGATGGTCATGAGCACTTTGAGGACGGGCATGAAGGCAGAGATCTCGCTGAAGTTGCTGCTGCTCACCACCTGCGTGTGAACCTCCAGACCCTGCTGATAGTTGCGGACGCTGACGCAGCGGCTGATCTCATGCAGGCCGCCGAGGATGCTGGGAGAGAGCTGAGGACACATGAGAGGTATATTAGGACATCTTAGAGACTGAAGAGATGGGAATAAATGTCTTTAACTCACCGCTTGGTCTCGCAGTTTGTCGTACAGACTCTCCAGACGTTTGGAGGCATCGTCCAGTTTGCGCTTCGTTTGCTGCAAGGAAAAAACATATGTGACCCTGGAGCACAAAACCAGTCATAAGGGTCAATTTTTCGAAATTGAGATGTATACATCATCTCAATATTTGGCCAAGATACAACTATTTGAAAATCTGGAATCTGAGGGTGCAAAAAAATCTAAATATTGAGAAAATCATCTTTAAAGTTGTCCAAATGAAGTTCTTAGCAATGCATATTACTAATCAAAAATTAAGTTTTGATATATTTACGGTAGGAAATTTACAAAATATCTTCATGGAACATGATCTTTACTTAATGTCCTAATGATTTTTGGCATAAAAGAAAAATGTATAATTTTGACCCATACAATGTATTGTTGGCTATTGCTACAAATATACCCCAGCGACTTAAGACTGCTTTTGTGCTCCAGGGTCACATATATGAAATAAATAAGTCCAGTTCACTTCGCAGCTTATTCTGGTCAGAAATCTGCCCACTTACATAAGAAGAGACTGTTTGTGGCTTTATTTACATTGGCATCAGAGTTTTCAGATGCAGATTGGTTGCACATGTCCTGATTTTCCGCAACCATTATGAACCTCTTCCAAATGTGGTTTTAAATCAGATAGATATTCTGGACATGATTTTTTTTTGTTAAGTTTTATTTATTATTATTAAAAGAATAAAACAAATATATTACTTGCACAAAAACTCATAGCTTCTTTTATTGTGGCTTTAATTAATTTAATTAATTAAATTAATCAGTCATCAGTTTAGGCTGAGAAATTACCCCCATAAAGATTAACCTTAACCCATCTCTTTTAGAGAACTACAGACCGGTTTCCCTTCTTCCTTTCATTGCAAAAACACTTGAACGAGTTGTGTTCAACCAAGTCTCAGCCTTTCTCACACAGAACAACCTCCTGGACAGCAACCAGTCTGGCTTCAGAAGTGGACATTCGACCAAGACTGCTTTGCTTTCAGTTGTTGACGCCCTAAGACTGGCAAGTGCGGCCTCCAAATCTTCTATACTTATCTTGCTGGATCTGTCCGCTGCTTTTGATACGGTGAACCACCAGATTCTCCTGTCAACCCTATTGGCAAAGGGCATCTCAGGAACCGCACGCCAGTGGTTTGAGTCTTACCTCTCAGAAAGGTCCTTCAAGGTATCTTGGAGAGGTGAGGTGTCCAAGTCGCAACATCTAGCTACTGGGGTGCCTCAGGGCTCAGTACTTGGACCACTTCTCTTCTCTGTCTACATGGCATCACTAGGTTCTG